GTTAGGCCTCAGTTGGAGTATTGTGTCCAGTTCTGGGCACTGCATTTCAAGAAGGATGTGGAGAAATTGGAGAGGGCCCAGAGAAAAGCCACAAGAATGATTAAAGGTCTAGAGAACATGCCCTATGAAGGAAGGCTGAAAGAATTGGGTTTGTTTAGTTTAGAAAAGAGAAGATTGAGAGGGTACATGATAGCCGTTTTCAGGTATCTAAAAGGGTGTCATAAGGAGGGAGAAAACTTGTTCATCTTGGCTTCTGAGGCTAGAACAAGAAGCAATGGGCTTAAACTGCAGCAAGGGAGGTTTAGGCTGGACATTAAGAAAAAGTTTCTTACTGTCAGGGTAGTCAAACACTGGAATAAATTGCCCAGGGAGGTTGTGGAATCCCCATCTCTGGAGATATTTAAGAGTAGGTTAGATAAATGTCTATTAGAGATGGTCTAGACAGTACTGGGTCCTGCCATGAGGGCAGGGGACTGGACTCGATGACCTTTCAAGGTCCGTTCCAGTGCTAGTATTCTATGATTCTATTCCTCCATAGAACAGTACTGCCCATGACCATTTTGCAAAATCTTGTAATGACCCTGCCCCCCAGTAAAAATTATTGCCCACCCTTGGTCTAGGTCACTCTGGACCCTAACCCTACTTTCCAGTGTAGCTACCTCTCCCGCTAGCTTTGCGTAATCTGCAAACTTAATGAGGGTGCAGTCTATTTCCTCATACATGTAATTAATCAAGATGTTGAACAAAACCACCTCCAGAACCGACCCTTAGGGCACTCCACTTGATACTGACTGCCAACCAGACATCGAGCTGTTGATCACTACTCATTGAGCCTGATTATCTAGCTAGCTTTCTATCTACCTTGCAGTCCAATTATACAATCCATACTACTGTGTTAGAAACCAAAATGTAGACACTGTGTAGATTCAAGCAAGAGGGTTTATTACACACAGTGCTGGCGTAGTGCCACCTTGCCACTTGGGCTCAGCAAACACTGCCAAGAAAATAATTACAATAGACTATATTGTAATTACAATAGACTGATGGGCAGAGAGAAACAATGGGGCGGGGAGTTCCTGAGCCCCTGGATAGGTTCTAGCAGCAAGGTATTATGATCCAGTGAGCCAATAGTCTAAAAGATTAGATAATAGTTTTGCCCATGTCTCAGGTTAACCCAACTGCTAAATGGAAGTATATGCCCCAACCCCTCCCACCAAGAGTTGCAATCCATAGCTACGTTCTGGTCGGGATCCAGAGAAGTGATGACGGTGCTTTTCCCAACAGGTGCGGGGTATGGTTCATAGGTGCTTGTGTAGGGGTATAAAGCAAAAACAAAACTGAGTGAGGTACGCAGCAAGCAATTGTTTATAATATGCCTTTAGTAAATTTTCAAATTGGGCTTATTAAAGGGGGGAGGTGCTATCTCTAGTTCCTTGGCAGCAATTCGTGGTCGGCCTTGAGAAGGCAGCTCTTGTCTCTTTCCCATGCAGACTGTGAGGCACCTTGCAGGGCCGTAACCTTGAGTGTGTGTGTGTGAAATTCATGATAGTGGTACGCAATTATTGCTTTCCATTTGGTGTTGTGCTGCCTAGCTTATAAACAGACAGGACTCCTTTCCTGTGTTCGTTCTGTTTTCCCAAAGCTTTCTGTTACTGTTTGGCTCACCAGGGCCTTGTGTCTTGGTTCGACTGTATAGCAAGGCCTCTTTGAAGGCTTAACCGGAGACCATAGCCTACCTATATATTAATGGGCTACCAGCTATCCCCACAGTGGGTTAAAAACCTGTTCCTACATACTGTAACTTGGTGCCAAGAATACTGTAGGAGACCATATCAAAAGCCTTGCTAAAATCAAGATATATCCTGTCCACTGCCTTCCCCATGTCCACAGAGCCAGTTACCTTGTCATAGAAGGCAGTCAGGCTAGTCAGACATGACTTTCCCTTGTTGAATCCACGTAGACTGTTCCCAATCACTCTCCTCTCTTCCAAGTGCTTCAAAATGGATTCCTTGATATTCCCTCCATGATTTTTCAAGGGCCCAAAGTGAGTCTGACCGATCGATAGGTCCCCAGATTGTCCTTTTTGCTCTTTTAAAAAGATGGGCACTACATTTGCCTTTTTCCAATTATCTGGAATCTCCCCAGATAGTTTTCAAAGATAATGGTCAACGGCTCTGCAGTCACATCAGCCAACTCCCTCAGCACTCTCGGATGCATTGTATCTTGCCCTGTGAATGTGTGTATGTCTAGCCTTTCTGAATACTTGTTAACCTGTTCTTTCTCCTCTGAGGGCTGCCCACCTCCTTCTCATAATATGCTGTCTAGTGCAGAAGTCTGGGAGCTGACCTCTGTGAAGATGGGGAGGGGGGAGGGAAGCATTGAGTACTTCAGTTTTACCCACATCATCTGTCTTTGCTTTGTGAAATGTGTTCACCCTAAGGAAACCTGCACAAGCCTTTCAAAAGATGGATCTGGGAGCTTAAATTCATCAGTTAAAAAAAAAATCATTGTCTTAAGGACAATATTACAGTGTATATTACAGGGTATATTACAGTGTGTAATCCACTAACCCCCTCGGGTCACTTCACCGTTATTGGTCCCTTTAGGCTAGTCTACACTAGCTCTATGAGAGGCAGAAGCTATGTCAACAGAAGAGCATCTCCTGTCAATATAGTGCCAGTTGTGGACATCACCTACGTCACAATAACTTGCATTACTCAGGAGTGTGAAAAAAGCTTCCACCCCCTGAAGTGATTCAAGTTATAGCAACATAAGCGGTATCATAGACCTGCCCTTAGAACAGGGGTGGGCAAAAGGGCCTCTGCGGATCGGATCAAGCCTGCCAAATGGGTTCATCTGGCCTGCGGAGGTCATGCTGCTCCCCCACCCCATGGCCAATCAGGGCCTAGGGACAGGGGAGTGTGCAGTGCTTAGAGTAAACCTTGGCAGTTAACCCTAAGCATTGCGTGCCGGAGGGTAGGAAGTGAGAGACTTCGTGCTCCCCCTTCACCCAGGCCAGTCAGGGCCTACGGGGAGGGGGGTGGGGGGGAGGGAGCATGCAAAGTCTGGCCTGCCCTGCCCTGCCCTGCCCTGCCCTGCCCTGCCCTGGCCTCCAAGTGCTGTGCGTCGC